CTTACTAGCCGGGACTGTTCCACATTTGTTCCTTCTTAAGAAAATATCCCAACCTAAAATAGAACCCAAGGTGAAAATCATTAAAGTGTTTTGGGAGCCTTAAAAGATTTCCTCAAGGAAATCTGGGACGATAATATGAAGACAGCATGTTAAAACGAGGAGCCTTTTGAAAATCATTTTTAAAACTTAATGGCAGTGATTACTTTGAGAGGCTGTAAAGCATGAATGAGAAATATACATATTATTTAGTCTGACTGTCGAGACTTCTATCCTAACAGCAATAAAAAACATATTTACAATTTTTAAAATCCGTTTTTGAAAATGAAAATTATGATTCTTTAGCTTTTTTTTTTCCCTTTTGTTTTGATTTCCCATATACATATTATTGCTGCAAGGGTTTTTGTCCACAAACTAAATTTCAACATGATTTTTATTTACAGAGCCTTGATCATAGCCTGACTTTGTCAGGAGCAGTTACATCTATGGGTGCTTTTCACGTACAATGTACATGTAGTCTTAACATCTCAGACTCTTTTACACATGAGCGACATTGTTTTGTGCACACAAAGTTTCCATAATCCACAGAGTCTTGATTAAAGTCTAATGTTGTCGTTAGGAACAGTTATAACAGACTAAATGGTCTATGGGGTGCTGTCAGAATAGTCTTAAAATTAAGACCCTCTGTTATACGTTAAGAATAGCATTCCTGCAAACTACAGTCGACCTGCCTACAATGCACAGCCCCAAGCTCTGTGGCTACATACATATAGGTGTACACAGAGGAATGTGACTGGCGAACGAAAGTAAAGTTTACCAAGAGGGTGGCACGACTTTGATAGATTGGGCAAAGGTTAGCCCTGTCAAACATGTGCACCAATGTACAAGCAAGCAGGCAAGGTGCAGCCAAAAATAGAATGGATTTCTCATAGATTTCTCATCTCCAATTCTTAGCCTTGCCATCCCCCCCCCCTCCCACACACACACACACACACACATCATCACTCCTTTACTTGACTTGAGACAGTGAATATTTCTCAATCGTTTCTTACTCACATGTGACTACAGTATGCATAGCTATTCCATTTTTTTTCGCCCAGACTCAACATACTCATTCTCAACTTCTCCTTCTCATTCTTTGCACAAGCACCCCCCCCCCCTCTTACAATTAGTCCTCTAGCCCTCCATTTTATTTTTCGATCTTTTAAATACTTCTCTTTGGTCTCTTCATAAATGTCTCTTTCTTTCTCTGTTCCCTCCTTTTTGGTCCCCCCCCCCCCCCCCCCCTCTACATTTCCCACAAAAACACCATTATCACTTTCTGTTGTTAACCTTACATGTACAAACTCTCATGGCATGTGATCTTTCTTCGATTAAAAAGTGAGTGTTCTCTCATTATCATCCAGCTACATGTATTGTATCCCATTCTACCACCCCTCCCCCTCTTACCCTCCCCCACTTGCCCCCCTCCCCCTTGCACCCCCCCCCCCCCTCTCCCACCTTTCTCTCATTTTCTTCTTTCTCTTTGCAACATTCTTGTCTTCCTTTTTTTCTGCATGCTAAAGGTACATTTGAAAGAGAAATTTATACTATTAACACTAATATTCATCTCTGTATATATGCTACAAGAAAACCTGTTGAAGACATTCCTATTCACCTAAACATTCTGCAACGTACAAGATTTTCTTCAGAACCCTCCACCTACAAATAATAACACACTTGACCCTCAAACAAAAATACAATACGGCGTCTACCTTGCAAATAAAAGCTGAGAAATACAAATAAAAACGTTTGAAGGGCAGAACCTGTAAGTATGACTATCCATCACTCAAATGGTACTATTTTCGTCTGGTGACTTCAATCTTCATTTGGTACCTATATTCAAAGGTTTATCCATGTTTTCACAATTGTTATTCTTGCTACTATCATGTTGTTGTCCGGAAATATTTGGGGATCTGCACTTTAATGAACAAACTTTTCAAAAAATGTGGGAATTAATATCATACAACAAAATATATGGAATATCCATTTTCGATTTTTTTTTTTTTTTTTTTTTTTTTTTTTTTTTTTTTTTTTTTTTTTTTTTTTTTTAAATAAATATTTAAGAGATGCACCTGCATTCAACACTTAGGAATCAGGGAATGTCCCTTTGTGAAAGTTCTTGAGAGATCAATCAACCAATATCTTTAATATGATCAAATTGGGTATTAGGTTAATTCACTTGTCCAGGGAAAGTATGGATAAAGGGGATTAGTACGAGGTTAATCTCAAATCTATTCAAAAAGCACTTCAGTAATGCATTTGTGAAGGGATCTACACTGTACCTTTTTTTTATAAAGGAAAGTAAATTCAATGACAACGCTCACTTGTCACGTACCGGTACATGTATATCCATTTTCGGGTATTTGAGCTTCTTGCCAAAAAAGAGAAGGCTGAATGAACTTTTGTCAGGGATCTTTTAGTATTGGTTTCTTTTTAAAAGAAGGTACTTTCTCTTTCTATATTTCCAAATGTTATTCTTTAAAAAAAAATCCTTTTATCATTTCCTCTTTATGTATTTATTCATATTATTTTTTATTGTTTATATCCTTTTATCATTTTCTCTTTCTATATTTCCTTATGTTATTCTCTGATATTCTGTGCCTGAAATAAAAGTTTTGATTCTGTACCTCCAAATCACAAAATGTTAACTTGGAGTTCCCAAAAAATGTCAACCAGACTCCCTGCTATAAAAAAAACCATATGCAGTGTAGATTTTTTTTTTAAAGACACTTTCTGTCTTTCTGAACATTTTTGAGGAGAGAATACTACATTAAAGGCCCTAGAATATTCTAACAGCTTCATGCAAGTAATACACTGCGTGCATTGTTCGTTTGCCAAGAGCAAACTATAACTCAGCATAATTGAATAACAAAAATGATTGATGAACTTCAAACTTGGCATGACTTTGCCCGGAAAATGTGCAAATATCATATGAAAACAGCTCATAGTATACTTGCTACAGGATCGATAAATGCCTAAATGATCGAAAGACCTTATCAAGCTTAAGTAAATGCTTCATTTACAAAAAAGAGTTCCAACAGTTAGATCCAGTTCAGACTAGGATAAATTTAATCTAAACCTGTATAAAGAAACATTGCATTACATCATTGTGTATCAAAAGGGGCGTACTTACATGGAAAATAGTATTGTCTAAAAAAACATCTTAAGAAGAATTATATACCTCACTTAAGAAATCCAGCCATCTGATTGGTTGAAATTGCATTCATAAACTTAAACTATTTCTGTAAAATTCCCAGTAACCATGGTTAAAACAGTTCTAAAATCCCAGTAACCATGGTTACCGGGAAAATAGTTCAGTCTCCATGGTTACCCCATAGGTTTACATGTTAAAAAATGGTCTGAGCGATCGAGGATACCGTACGTGTGCGAAGAATTGGTCGGTAATTTCAATACAATTGAATCTCGATCGATTTTACCGACAATTTTATCTTGCATTGTTGACATGAAGACGAAAATAAACTTCCAAAAACAAAAAAACAACATCTGCCGATAGATCTTGATCTAAGTTCGTGCCAATATGCATTGCAAAAGTAAAGGTAAAAGAAGGGCCCGTTTAATGGAGCAGCGGCGAAGCATCCACCACGCGAAGCCGTTTTCAATCCATTTAAATGTATATATTAAAGAAAACTGCTAGATATGGTGACAGAGCGCGATGGCCGAGCGGTTTAAGGCGCTGATTATAGTTCGAGTAATAGCACAATTCTAACCTTCCCTTGAGCGTATAAAAACAACTATTTCTCTCAAAGCAGTCATTAATACTATACTAGTTTTTAAAAGGTCAGTTGCCATGACAACTGGCCAATCAACATTCATGCTAACAACTAGCCCCATTTATACTGTTACATACTGCTTGACGTTGAGACAAAGTGAGACTGTGATTCTTTATCGACTTTCGTTCAACAAAAAAATGCTTAAAAAATGTGCTTCTTTGCACAGAAATTAGTTTTTAAGAGGTCAGTTGCTACATGTAGGACAACTGGCCAATCACCATTCCAGCTAACGACTAGCCTCATTTATATGGTTTTCATACTGCTTGACGTTGAGACGAAAGTGAGACTGTGATTCGTTATCATCTTTTTGTTCAAAACAATGCTCAAACGTTACCTGTAGAAAACCCTGAGCTGCTAGAAGCATCTGCATGTTGTATAGCTATAGAGTTAACACAGCATTTACAACTCAAAGTTGCACTACCGTAATAAACGTTGTATAAAGCGCCCTCGTGTATTAACCGCACCCCTCTTTTTCGCCCTAAAAAAAAACAAAACAGTAAAGAGGACCTAGGATAGAACCTTGTGGTACGCCGTGTAATAGAAGAAAAATTGGAGGAATTATTTTTATCAACTACATATTGAAATCTATCAGAAAGATTACTTTCAAACCAAGATGACAGACAAATTTGAGTGTTGTTCTAGTTTCCGAGTGGTGAGTCAACACACCGATTACTGAGCTGGGAGACATTGCCAGGCATACCGTGTATAAACCGCACCCACGACTTTGAATTTTTTTCGGCGGCAAAAAGGTGCGGTTAATACACCGTTAATTACGGTACTAAAATTTTCTTGAAGTCAAGTAAATATTTTGGACCCAACTGAGCAAAACGTGTTATTTAGACTTCAAAGTTGAATTTTGCAAAAGTCAAACAATAATTTGCAGTCCCGACTGATTCAACTGACACAGAGTTAAAAACTGTTCTTTTAAAGCCCCATTGCACTAGTTTGGCATGGAGGGATTAGACCCCCCCCCCCCCCCTGCAAGGTCACTGGCAGGTGGTTATCTCATCAAATCAGCTCTCAATTATTAAACATAAGAAAAAGAGGATCATGGGGGAACCAATGGTCACCGATTAGGCATTGTCTGCTGCATAGAGGGCGCAAGTAGCTATAAGTAGTGCAGTGGGGCTTTAAAATTTTGGCAATGCCGGCTAGGATTGATGGACTCACCTTTCTAGAGTAAAGGACAGGTTGCCAGTGGCACTCTTGATGAAGTTCTGGGCGTCCAGATGGGTTATGTTGGTCATGTCATATCCATTGATGGCAAGGATGGTATCATTCTCCAGAATAGCAGCTCGCTGTGCCTTGCTAAAGTTTGTTACCTGAAAGAGAAAAGAGACAGAAAAAAGGAAAATAAAATTTAGATGACTCTTCAATTGTTTTGCAGGATTAAAGTCTCTTTCACAGAAAGGATTGCAATTAAATAGCTTCTTGAAGATTGTCCTTAATACGAACAGGATTAAAATCACTTCTTCTAGGATTTCAAGGCGTAACATGAAAAAGCAAAAAAGAATACCCCCCCCCCAAAAAAAAAAAAAAAAAAAAAAAAAAAAAACGATATTATTTTTCATCATACCATTAGCCTTTTGCATATGTATATAATTATGTCAAAACAGTATTTGAAAGTTGTCCAAATGGGCTAAAATTTTACTTTATTTAATAGAAAAGGAAAATTATGTTATCATTGATACAATTTGTATAATTCTGCAAGGAATTGGTTTCATGAGCCTTGCTACTTTGTGTGAAGTAAGGAAAATAAGGAAATACATTTGGTAACAAATACCAGTAATGAAAAGAAGTTAAGGAATGACAATGAATAGAAGTTTAGCATCAATCTTTCATCTGATCATCCCCATACGTGTACACTGTAAATGTAATCTGAATTACCATCATTCATTGCATGGTATTTTTCATTATTAAACCATACAGCCTATCATACGTGTAATGAAGTAAAATTATAGCATATCATACAATGGCATGTCAGTGCACAGACCACATGTTGGGAAACACAGCTGTTCTCATCCATGCAACGTAAAAATAATGACAATATGATAGTGATACACAGAGCAAAAACTAAGAATAGAAATTTAGTCTCATTTGCAAGCATAAACACTTTGTGATATGATACAGAATTAATTGCTGACTATCTATAACCAGAGCAATACTCTGCTTTATCCCATCACTTATTCTATTTCAGTTTCAGTTTGAGCTTATTTCAGATTTCACATTCACATTCATTAGATATATAATAAGCAATAACGATTAAGAATGAAAAATGATTCTTTCAATTGGTATAAAAATATCTACAATGATATGAAAGTGATAATAGAGGAGAAGTAACATACAGATGTATAATTTAAATTGCATGGTATTTAACCTGAATTTTGACAAATATACATTTGCAGTGAAATATGAGAGAATTTAGTAAAAAGCTAGGCTTGTAAATTGTAGATTCTCTTAAAAATAATAACAGTCTATAATTATTATATAATTATATTATATGTAGAGGAAAATCATGAAAAAACAAAATGAAAACATTGAAGAATAATTCCATTTTCAATTTATTATCAAAAGTTAAAAGCACAGTTTATATGTATAGATTTTTAGTGACAATTTTCCTCATTATTATAATAAGCTTATTTTTCAATAACCGTAAATTGAATGTCAAACTGTGCCTGGACTAGAAGACTAAGCAAGACAGACAAAATGGTGCGGCCCATCAGTACGCAGCAGGATTCCCTGCCAGTAAAACGAGATACAGACCATAACCCTCCTAGAATTTCCAAGATAGTAGGCGGATATAACTCTAACTATGTTTACACGGGACTCTTAAAGTTTAAAACTTTGTGAAACCTCAACGTTTGAAACAATGACCTACATGTACAGTACTAACAACCATGAGGGTTCACACTAGACCAAAACACTGCCTAAAACCTAAAAGTTTTGAACAATGACCTGTAACATGCATGAGGGTTTGCATCGGACTGAAATAATGCGTGTCCAAAGTTTTAAATTACGAGCCAAGTACGCAATCATTGTAACTGCAGACGGGCGAACGTTATAAGTAATTGCTTCCAAAGATTTCAAACGGCTCACAACTTTGTGTGAGGATCCCCCCCCCCCTCCCTGCTTGAAAGTATTGCATTAACCATAAGATCACTGATGGTTTTCCAAGTAAATTTGAGGTCTTAAAACAAAGGTATCAGGAGGTCCTTAACTACAAGATAAACTCAACGTTTAAAACCATGGGCTAAACTTTAAGTTTATGGACTCTTGTGTGAACCCGGCTAATGACATTTAAGACTGTCATCCCCTTATGATAAATGTTGTCTCTCACTATCTCTTACCATTTTCAAAACTAGGTTGAAATTACTCAGATATCTTACATGTTTGACCTAGAATGACTTTCATGTGAAAAGATATCCAAGAAGTATGACTGAGTGATTAACTACAGATGAGTTGACAATTATCTCCACCGTATTTGCTTTTATGTTTTTTCTTCAACGAGTTTCCTTGTGTCATAAAGTGTGACTTTGGAAGCCTGGGGTACACTTGACTTCATTATCAGAATGTAAGAAGAGATTTACGACGTGCTTTATAAATACTGGTAGTTGAAATACATACGGTACATGTTTGTGTGTCAAGATGAGTTTTGGTTGTGGGTAATTCAAGTGTAAAATTTGCTTTTCATTTATTAATGTATATGTATATGAGAATACATTGTCTGTTTAATTCCAGAAGGGCATTAAGTCATATACACATGTATGTACAATTGTACATGTATCCTGATACAGACCTAACGTCCTTCTAGCTTTGAACATACAGCACGTATTAAGGGAAAATGGAATACGGGGAAGAAGAAAATCAGTCCTCAAGGCTGAAATGTTTCAATTTCCTGCTAGGAAACTATTATGGTTACAATAGAGGTAATAATTCCTGAATTGCAAAGTACTAGCTCCCTATCATTCATACTCTGTAATCACATACATCGACTGCTGAAGCCAGAAGATTGAGAACCACTTCATAAATTGAAATGGAGGGACGATTTCCTTCCGACCCTCAAAAAACAGTGCGATCAAACGCAACAAGGGAAGAAATCAAAATTGACAAAGGATGTCATTACAGAGTGCAAAATCCATATCCTTGAGACGTACAAATGAAGAGAATAGTTGGAAATAGGTTTTGATTGTCCACTGTGTTTTGATTTGTTTTGTCTTCTCGCCAAACGTGTCTGTGTTTGTCTTGTATTTTGTAATTGTATCTTTCCTTGAGCAGACAAACCGGTCGAGGCCCTAGTAATACTACATACATCTACCAGCTGACTGCCTCACCATGGCTCAAGAATGCAAAGAATGCCATAACCTTGTAAGACACAAGCAACTCTGTAAGCTTTATGTCTGGACACAACCAATTCTGCGAGCTTTGTCGTTGTCCTTATACATAATACACGGCCACCAGAGCAGAGACAAATTCGTCATGTGCTCGTCAGAATGCAGAAAAGTGTGCATGTCCAGAGCTGCCAACCTTTTGCAATAAAAAAAGGAACCATGATGGCAACAAAAAAAGGAATTTCAAGCAAAAAAGGACTTCATTGAAACGAAAACTTACAACTACGTCCGACACACTTTCAATGCAGAAATGTCCTTCCTCATGCTGTTATTTCCATATTAGTTTATATTAGTAGTGTGTTTTACAAGTAGGTAGTTTTTTTTTGTTGGTATTATCAGCATTCATTCATTTATACATGAAGATTTACCATGTACTTCATCACCTCATACGTGGATGCTCCTTGCTAAACTTACTTATAGACAATTGGACAATATCAATCCCTAATGAAATTCACTTGTTAAATTAAACAAGATAAAATTTAATCATCAAAAGTTTTTAGATTTGATTTAAACTGGGTCTGGAGAGTGGATACTATTTAAATCGATAGCATGTCCTTTCTTCAATGAAATTCTATTTTGATGTATGCACGAACCAAACAGGAAGATTCCCTTCATATACACATGGTTTATAACCCCTGAATTACAAATAACACTTTTCCTCCACTGTCAGACTTATATGTACAATGTAAAGGAGGTATAAATGAGGTTTATCCCCTTGTCTTCCTGATTTTGTTATACTTCATTCATTCGTTCATCAGCTGATAGTAATTCCCTTTATAAGACTACTGTCTGACAGTGAAAAAATACATGGGGGCTCGGGTGAAATAGCCCCCAAAACGACCAAAAAGAGCCCCCGAAAATCAGAAAAGAGCCCCAATAATTTACATAGGCTTCAATGCAAAACAAATTTTTGAATGTTATTTTCAGGCAGGCAAGCTTGAAAAGTAGCCCCCGAAAAATAAATATTAATTTTTTCCCTGCTGTCTGAGGGCTGAGGGCATAGCCAGTGAAAATGGGGTACAGGAGGTGCTACCCCCTCCCTATTCCTTCTAACACAGAAGTTACATGTAGGAAATTGACCAGTGTAAGATATGACTATGGACCAGTTGTAGCCTACATGTACATAAGCATATGGAGGAACCCAAAGTATAGGAGATAGAGGGATAGAGGGGGGGGGGGGTGGAAAGGGCTACACTACATGTGAATTTGAAAGGATCTCTCCTCACATAACTGTTTAATCAATTAATTTCAAATGCATTCACCTAACTCCTCAAGTTCAATGTCAGGATGAACCCCCTCCCCCAACCCCTGTGATTCTCATTTGGTTAATTGGCTACGCCATACGTTTGACAGGGTTGCACATGCAATCTGCTATTGCACAACTTTGGACACTAGGGGAAATTTAATCACGCTACTGTCTTCACCCAGCATGTTCTATTGCAACACTTTAGTTAACCAGTCGACTACCAAATTCTCACTTTCCCATAGGCTACATACAGGAACCTTCCGATTTTAGTAGGCAATCGGTTAAAAAGTATAGAATTCCCTTTTTTTCCCCATTTAATTCTCTTGATTAACACACCTCGGGGGCTAAATTAAATTTTTTAAATACATTGCATCTGGTACATGAGCAATAGCAACACCTACTGTAATCTCAAATGCATTGATTTCATTTCTTATCAAATATCAAGTTCACTTGATCTATGCACCGTGGGGGTCTAATGAAAATTGTCAAAATTCCTGGCACATGAATCGTTCGACACAAGTGAAACAAGTTTAATTCTGGTTTCTGTTTTGCAACAAAAGCAAAAGAGTATCTTTTTAACATACTCAAAAAACAATTAATTTATTTATTTTCTATTTAATTCCCAGGAGCGCAACATCAAATGATAACATACAAAGGCAATGAAAGCATACAAAAGGGATGATAATGA